CTGGTGCTGGTGCTGGTGCTGGTGCTGGTGCTGGTGCTGTTGGTGCTGGTGCTGGTGCTGGTGCGGTTGTTTGTTTCTTTTTTTTTTTTTGTTGCTGTTGTTGTTGTTGTTGCGGTGGTGGTGGTGGTGGTGGTGGTGGTGGTGGTGGTGGTGGTGGTGGTGGTGGTGGTGGTGGTGGTGGTGGTGGTGGTGGTGGTGGTGGTGGTGGTGGTGGTGGTGGGGGGTTGCTGTGCCTGGTTCTGCTTGCTGTTGCTGGTGGTGGTGCTGTTTCTGTGGCCGCTGCTGTTTCTGCTGTTGCGGCTGCTTCGTCTGCTTCGGTGGTTGTCTTTTGCTTTTTGTTGGTTTCATGCTATTTCCCTGGCAGCTGTTCTGATTTTCAAGTTAGTGGTTTTGTTTTGTGGTTACCCATGGATTTGGGAAAAGAACTGCAAGACTTTTTCCGGACTTGCAGAAGCCACGCCCAGAATGCCAGAGTTGCCAGACTGCATAGCAGAGTGACTCTGATACAGAGGGCAGTATGGACAAATCTGCGCGACAAGATGGGCACCCTTTTGAGCAACTTTCACTTGCAAAGCAACAGATACTCCCCCTGGATGATCTCTCTGCAAGAGGGGTTGCGTGTGGCAGCTCGTGTTGCGACCTGGGTTCTTGACACTGTCGTGCCCGGTTCATCCGAATCTGCTACGAACAGTGTGCCAGAGCCTGTACTGCGTCTTGGGCTTGCAAATCCTGGCGTCCAAGGCTGCTCGGACATTGCTGGTTTACGGGTACGTTGGGATCCATTGATAAATGATGAGTGGGGTTTGAAGTTGGCAGTCAGTGCCTTGGCCCTTGATGCTGTCGGCCTGTCTGCGCCTCGATTGCCTGATGCAGTCGCCGCTCCCCGGAAGCTTGGTATGCATATTTTCAGCAAGGGAGGTCGCAGCTATGCGAGCACTGCTGTTCTCAGGAGCGAACGTGTGATGTTCACATCTACCGTTCGCAGCGACATTGGCAGTGACAGACGGATTTGGGTTGATTTTCAACTTCACAATGATTCGGTGTTGCACTGGGTAGTTCTCACCATGCCGACCTCTGCCAACGATAGAGATTCTGATTGGGTTGCGGAGCTGCAAGGTCTGTCAGATGACATTTCTTTCCTTTTTGAACAAACTGATTCTTCGAGCTCACTCCTGGTTTTGGGCACAGGTGACATGAATATTCAGCCTGACGAGCTAGGTGGCGGCAGGGAGCCTTCCAGAAAGCGGCAAGTGGCATGGGAGAGGTTTTGTCGTCTTCATGGTTTGCTTCTTCAAAACCCTACCCTCGCCAACCAAACTGTTTGTCCTGTTGATCTCCCACTACGTGGAAGAAGAGTTCACATTCGTGAGGCTTCCACGCGTCACGGGATTGGAGTAGGGCGTGCAATTGACCTCGTTTTCTGCTCCCCGAGCCTAGTTGTTGATGTCTCAATTCACAACGGGCTTCATTGCGCCAACTGGTGTCCCCTAGAACATTGCCAGGAAACATGCAGGGGAGATCACTTTCTCATTCAAGTTGATGTTCATGTGCAGCCTGGTAGGTCCTTAGGACCAGCTGGGCCAGCTTTCCCAGGGAAGTGGCATGACGCAACCAAGTGGGCTGCAGCTCTTAGGCCGGCAGAAACCATCCTACAGAGTCTCAGCGGCACTGTTCATCTGGCAGCAGACGAGCTTTGTCTTCAGGCTTGCTCGCTGGCTACTCGCAAGAAGCACTTATGGGGCATTGAGGCTGCCGCTGCATTAACGAACACAGTTGGCGGGCTTGTTCGGGATGTTTGGTTAAGAGCGGGGCCTGGTGCTTCATCCCGTGAGATAGTAGCACGTCCCAATCTAGCAGAAGCTGTTCTACACGAGCTCTCTGACGACACCGGTTCTTTGATAGAACAGGTTTCCAGAGAAACTGACTGTGCTGCGTTGCTTAATACCTGTTTTAAACTTCTTCGTGACCCTGTTCCTCAACCTCTCCCTCGGCTTCACAGTGGTCCACATATCCTTTCTGAAGCAGAATCTAACCAAGAGTGGGTTAAAGCTCTTCGCTCTCAGTGCTCCTGGCCAGAAGCATTTGATGAACAACTTCACTTTCAAACAGTGGCTCGCTGCCAACAACTTTGCGCAGCTGCTTTGCGACAGCCTTCTGGAGACTCCAAAGACTATGCGGTAACTGAGCGCGAAGTGGTTGACATCAGAAATTCTTGGTCAGCATCCAAGGGCATGCCTCCAGACCTCCTCCCCCGCGCCCTTTTCATGGCCAACTCCGAAGGTTGGAACTCTGTGGTGTGGGCCTTACAGCGTTGGACGGGACCGGGAGGTGCAGCGTTCCGCCCCTCACTGTGGCGCCAAGCAGCACTTTGCCCTGTTCACAAAGCTGGGCCCGCATGCCTTGCTTCTAGCTTCAGACTTATTTTTGTTAAGGCTCAGCTAGGGTTGATGCAGGAGGCTCTCCTTACACAACGCTGGTTGTCTGCAACTCGTCGGTTCATCCAACCCTGCCAAAGCGGGTACATCCGTGGAGTTGATGATGCACATCTCCTTCTACACGAAGTAAGTGCTGAAGCCATCCTTCAACACCGGCCTCTTTGGTTTGTTATGGGGGATTTTCAAAAGGCCTTCCCTCGAGTCTGCCGCCATGACTTGCTTTGTGCATTGGCAGATGGGCCTCACGTGAATGGCCACTGCTTGGGCCTCTTAGGTGACATCTTAAAGGAGGACCACGTTGTTGTTTGGTATAGCGGTTTCAGCGACACTGTCGTTACCAGCGGTATTCCTGAAGGAGGCTGCATCGGGCCCTTTGGCTATCCAGTCCTTTTGGACTCTCTGGTTCGCGAAATCCTTGCTGTTGGTGGTGGTCTCGGTGTTGGTTGGCGCATACCGCAGTTGTGGCAGGGTCGTGTATGGTCTGGTCATGGTAACAGTAACCCTGCACTGGTTTCCATGCTCAAGGGTATCCTTCAGCATGATGACAACAGTGTCCTTCTGCCATCAAATGACCTCCTTGACAACAACCCGGATCTCGAGGCCTCTGCTCTTCAGGCTTTGAACGATTGTGCCACTTTCAAAATCGCTGCAATTTTGCATGCAGACGATCCGGTGCTCCTTGGTTGCAGCAGGGGGGCCCTTCAACAAAGTCTTAACCTGCTTGCGCGCTGGGCTTTCCGCCACAAAGCTGCCTTCCACGTCGGCGAAAAGAAAACTGTAACCATGGTTACAGGGAAAAGTGCGGCGGAACTCCAGGCTGCTGAACCTTTAGTGCTCCCTGGACTAGGATTGCAGCCTGATCGGTCCTTGGGCTTCAAAACCAGCCACAAGTGGCTCGGCATCCTGTGGCCTTCGAACCTCCTGCTTGACTCGGCATTGACAGTACGGGTTGCCATTGCTCAGAAATCCTTTGCCATCTTGGTCGGGTTGGCTCAGCGTGATATTCTTCCCTTGCATCTCATCTGCTCCATCTTCTGGGCCAAGGTTTTCGCTTCTCTTTCTGTTGGCCTCTGGCTCAATGGAACAGCAGATTCGGCAAAGGAAGTGCTGGACGGCCTTCTTGTCTCTTGGGCAAGACAGCTGTTGGGTGCCTCTTGTTGGCATAATGCCTCGCTCCTCCTTTCCGAATTAGGCTGGGATATCTCCGGCCACCTTCTTGCTGTGATGGCCATGGCCATGCGAAGAGCCCGGCTGTGGACGCTGCCTTCCGAGGACCTTTACGCTCAAGTTTTTCGGCTCGCTCATGCATGGCCAAACTCTTGGGCCTCTCGCAGCTCTGCAATTTTAGCAAAGCTTCTTATTCTTGATTTCCCGGCTTGGCAGCATCAGGGTGGTAACCTTCAGCAGTATCGTTTGTACGTTCGGCAACGCTGTCGTGACTTGGGGCTGCCTAGCTGGAGAGAAGTGGCGCAGCGCCACGCCAGGCTGCCGATGTACTTGGAGGTGCAGCCTCAGCATAGTGACCTTCTGCATCTTATTCCCGCCCTAGCGCTGGGATGGGAGGACAGACAGGCTGTTCGGTCATTTTGCAGATTGCGTGCCGGCATCATTCGCCTCACGCATGTGGATGGCCGCCTGAGCCGTGCTAGTATTCAGAACTGCATTTTTTGCAGCAAACGAATAAGGACGGGCCTCCCGCACGTCCTCTGCCGATGTCCCACCTTCCAAGGCTGGTGGCAGCAGTTGGCTACACTTCGGCGTCAAGAAGATCGGGAGCTTGTGTCCGAAGAAGCGAAGGCAATACTGGTTTGCCCTCCTTCTTCCTGCTTTTTCGTCTTGGTTCTAAGGTTTGCCAAGGACATCGACATCCGAGCCCGCTTGTTCTGGAATGGTGATGGATCATAGTCGTCCGCTGCTGTCTCCGCTCTGCATACCGAGATTCCGCAACAGTCAACCAAGAAAGTGCGTCTTGGTGCTCGCCGTAGCCCTTGCGCCCTCTTGTGTTGAGGGGCCGTTGCGATGTCTTGCTCTTTAGTATAAGTCGGCTGACTTGCCCCGAGTCGCCTGCCTGCAGAGCCTCCAGTGCTACTGCGGATGAGTTTACACACACACACACCCTAAACCCTATATTCCTTAACTAAGGGATATTGGAGTGCCTGGAGACCTGCAGCCCGTCGGCCCCCACGGGTAGTTATGAGTAGGGTTATAGGGTTGCTTGAAGGATTCTATAGGGTTTAGGGATGAGGGGTAGTTCTACGCAGGCTTTCGGGTTTATAGGGTTTAGGGGTTTGGGGTTTAGGGCTTAGGGTAGTTGTAAGCGGGCTTATGAGTAGGACAAGTATAGTTAGAACCCACATTAGGGGGCTTATAACCCTATTTATAACTACCCATGAAAATCCAAGCAAGAACCTGCAGAACTCCACAACAACCCGAGTTTAGGGTTTATGGATTAGGGTGTTGGGTGGTGTAGCACGCTTAGGATGCTTTTTGGGATTTGGGGTTTGGAGTTTACGGTTTTTTGGAATTATACCTGCAAGGTCCTAGCACCAGAATAAAACGAGCGGCGATGTCGACCAAGGTGCGGCCGATGTGCCTGTTGCAGCTAGGGGCTTGAATTCCTGATTTGGTTCTTGGGTCTAGTGATACTTCTTACAATATGAAGTTTAAGATTATTTGGCAGAAATTAAAGACCAGGTTTTTTAAAGTTTGGAGTTTTAGGAACGTCAGACTTACTGTAAGACTTAAGAGGGCGGTCATCTCAGTACTAGACGGACATTTCCATGTTCATTCAAGGCTTTTTCGAGGCTCTTCTGGGGGTTTCTGTAAGGGTCGTAGAGGGTCCAATGATTAGGTCCGATAGGTCCTGGGTTATGGTAAGGGTAGTTGTAGCTCGAAAGATGGGGAGTGCAGTATGATTCTGTGTGGTGATACTTGTTCGAGCTGTAGGTTTTAAGGTTTTGGTGTTCAGAGGGGTTACATGGGGCTCCCAGGCTAGTTACTCCTAATATAGTACCCTTATTATAAGGACCCCAAAATAAAGGAACTCTAATTTTCGGAAACTCCCATATGCCAGTTTTGTTGATTTTTTGGGCTTGAAGGAGAGCACACTCGACAGGGATCGCACTACGAAACCATTCAAACTATATCGGCGCTTATCTGAAGACCCTACATGAAAGTCGTCTCTGGTAGCTTGGGGTAGGAAGCGTGTGGTATTCTGTAAATGAGGATTCTGTCTCTCGTCCACAGAAGAGTACTGTACTTCGCCACTCTTCAAACCGAGGACAGCTACAATCCAGACAACTGCCCGTCTGCAAGCGGAACACCTTCCGGCCCCGCATCCACACTGATAAAGGGGGGAGCTTGGGGTGATGCTCAGCTTAGGGTAAGGTTTACTATACGGGTTACTGTGGGGCTTAACACAGGGGCCGTAAGCAGCAGTATAGGATTTTGGGCTGCGTACGGTGGTGTAGCATATAGGAGACGTAAGGGGGCCCTGTAGCTGACTACTGAGACCTCTAATCAAACAATCCAAGGGTAAAAAGGAGGGACCCTTCATAAGGGTACCCTTAATAGCCATGAGATACCCATTATAGGGTAGGGGTCCTTATTAAGGGTCCCTCCTTTTGCCATCGGAAACAATGAAAACTGAAGCCCAAACCAACACAAGGCCTAAGCCCGAAGACTTGATTGGGGCGAGCAGCAGAAAGTAGTCCGACCAGTAGCCGGGAGGATTGTAGATCCTGGTGTCCACGGTTTAGGGTTTAAGGTTTAGGGTTAGGGCAAGTGCTCGGGTTTGGGCTTTTGCGAGTTGAGCGCTGCCAGGCTTTGGCTACAACAACAGCCCCTCAGACTGCGTGATTCACCCTGCCTGTAACCCCACAGATATCTATCCTTTTAAAGGCACTGGGATAAGGATTTTTGATAAGAACACTTCAGAACGCACATTTTGGTGCTTCAAGTAGCCAGAGCCTCCCAAACTCCTTCATTAAGGAATAAACGTATAATTTAAATTACAATAGGATCCCTACTATGATTGAAGGTCTGTTCCCCCAGAGAGCCCAATATCCCTTAATTAAGGAATATTGCTTAAATTATAGGGGCCTTGATATTATGATTTAAGGTCTGTTCCTTAATAAAGGGGTATTGGGCTCTCTGAGTAAGGCTAGCCCTAAACCCTAAACCCCCTTTGGGCTTTAGGGATTCCGCTTCAGGGTTTGCGGCTTTACGATTACATGGGAGCGCAGGCTCTGGGTAGGCCTTGAGTTGAAGCGCGTCAGGTATCGTGCTTTGGACCCTCGGAGGCGGCTGGTGCCAAGATCCTCTCCAGCTCGTCAGCCCCCAACTTGTACTAGGGTTTAGGGTTTAGGGGTTTAGGGTTTAGGGGCTTAGGGTTTTGGGGCTATTTTGGACTAGTATCTTGATTGATGACCTTCTGGGCCTCTACACTGTCACTAAATAAAGATCAAGAACTGACACTTCCTGTACTTGAGCCCTGAAGCTACACACCATTGTGCCAGCCAGGGGGCGTCAGGTCGTGAACTTCGATGACGCCCTCATGGACGATCACCTGCGCTTGTAATGGTAGTAGTACTCATGACCATAATGTTACAAAAAGTCATAACATATGTCTAATCATAATCATGATAGCTTGTCTGCAGAGGAAGCACGTCCTGGGAAGTGCTGAATCCTAGGCCCGAAATCAGCGGCAGAACCCGCTATTCAATGCAAAACCCTCTTCATATTCTCAACAGCACCGGCTCGTTGTTACGACCACAGCCGAATTGATTCTCAACATAACTGCCTTGATTGTGATAAACCTGCGTAACCTATCGTTCGCCTACACATATACAAACATGCATGGGGACATTATGACATATATATATATATATATATATGTATCTCACGATCTACCTATCTATCCATATACATGTATATATACATAACGTCTTCAAAACCGACTTGCATGCCACCGAGGTGCCTTGACGGCGCCGAAATCGGTTTCCACGCCGAGAAAGCCTGCGCGGAGCGAAGTCGTCCCTTCGCGTAGGGTCCAAAAGTGACTTCCCCTAAAGGGAGGAAGTCCGAACCCTAAGGGTCCATGTATCCATATAGTTAAGGGATCCTTTAAGGGTACCATAAGGGATCCTTTAAGGGATCTATAAGGGTTCGATGAGGGTTTAGGGTATAAGGGTCCATGTACCCATGTAGAGATACACGGGCCCTACTGTACCTATATAGGGACTACATTCAGGCCAATGTATATACTGTATGAGTACATGGACCCTTAGGGTTCAGCAGTGACTGTAGCGGAAATATATAGTATAGGGGCCTTTGAAGGGATCTGTCAGGGGTTCTTTGAAGGGATCTATAGAGTTTAGGGTTTGGGGTAGTATTTGGGCGCCTTAACTACTAGAATAGGGTTGCGTTGAAGGGGGTTCCTTAAAGGGCTCTTTAAGGGATCTATAAAGGTACTATGATATAGGGTCCTTAATGACTTGAATAGGGGTTCCTTTAAAGGGTCCTTTTACTATAGTAAGGTTCTATGATGTGGGGGCCTTAATAATTAGAATGGGGTTTGGGGGTACATCGCACTATAACCATATTAAGGAACCCCCACAACAGCGATAGGGGTTTAACCATAACAGAATTAACAATGGGCTTTAACCAAAAAGAACAAACAATAAAAGGAGTATGGGGCAGAGGTGTTAGGGTTCAGGGGTACAGGGTATGTATGGCGAACTGTGGGTGGTCCAGCAGTTTAGAACGTACAGGCGGGGGGGAGGTGGGTGGCACTTCAGAACTGATAGGGTCTTGGGCAGAGGTACAGGGACTGTACGGGATACTGGCCGTATGGCAGTATATATTTACATATATATATATATATATATGTATATACATACATATACATATATACACGCACATATATATGTTATATCATATATATATATATATATATGATATAGACATATGTACGGACGCTCTGGGATATACCATCATGTGATATACTTCCTTGTCCAAATACTCCAACAGTATGCACGTTGGAGGAACATGGGCCCGTTGCACCAGTCCTTGAACAAAAAACCCTTTCAATCAGAAAACGTGATCGTGAACGGTTCGTCTTGCTTTCATTCGGGGACCTCGTAAAAGCGATTATGAACGGAAGCCGTGACTCCACAGCGCTAGCGCAACTTTGAACCTAAACAAGCACAACACCACATGCAGCGCTTGTAAAATCCTGAGTAGGACTGATCCCAATACACAAATACAGAACAAAACACCAAAACATATTATTCTAAAGCCGCTTTCTAGACTTGTCCAAAGCCTCTTCTACAACCCTGCACCAAAAAACAAACTCCAAATCTAACCCTCAAAGAGACTCCAAATCTAAAACCAGCGGCTCTGGTCGAACTTCTCCACGAAACTCTCCACGAGGCCTCCTAGCCTAGCGCTGGGGGAAGGGCGAGGATCGCATGTGTTCCTTCCCAGAGGGTAGAAGTACATACCGGTTTAAGGTTTAGGGTTTAGGGACCTACCTGTTGAAGGACTGATATTGTATAAAGAAATCATGACAAGGAACTCTAAAAAGGGTAGGTTCTTTGGGCCAGGCAATCCCTTCTTGAAGGCTCATGGGACTTAGTAAGTAAGGTTCTAAGTAGGTTATAATTAGGATAACCCCACTTAGGGGACTTATAACCCCAGTTATAGCCTACTTACTAGGTCCCATGATCCTCTAAGTTGCTGTAGGACTTTAGGGCCTTTTGAGGCAGCAAAAATCATAAAACAAGACTACTTGGACCCTTGGGACTTGAATGTAAGAGAAATCACAACATCCTCGTCGTAGCATAAAGGGCTTTCAGGGTAATATAGGCTTCTAGGGTTTAGGGTTCCCTAAGGGTCCATGTACTCATATAGTATATACATTGGCCTTAAAAAAGTCCTTATATAGGTACTTTGGGGCCCATGTATCTCTATATGGGTACATGGACCCTTAGGGGTTGTGTGGAGTCGACCCCAAACCCTAAACCTTGTACACGGTAGAAAACCCTTACCGGGAAGGTCAATTGAGATGAACTCTCAAGCGTAACCCTTAAACTCTTGAACTAACGAACCCTTATGAAGTTTGGAGTTTTGGGGCTTAGGGATGAGGGTTCAGGGTTCAGCACAAAATGATGAACCCTAAACCTCAAAGCCCTGAACTTAGACCCCTATATACCCTGGCCCTGAACCCCAATCCCAAGCCCTCAACCGTTAATCCTATCAAATCCCTAAAGCCTTAAACCCTTAAATTTAAGGAACGCCTAAAGGAACCCTTAAAAGCAGCAGCAAAGGGTGAGATTTCCGGTGACTTGCGTTTGCTGCCGAAGCGCAAGTTCCCATGCTCAGAAAGCTCCTCCGGTGCTGTTAGGGCTCGTGGTTACGGTTTAGGGTTTAGGGTTTAGGGTTTAGGGTTTCGGGTTTCGGGTTTCGGGTTTAGGGTTTAGGGTTTAGGGTATAGGGTTTAGGGTTTGCGGGTACCTTTGAAAAAGGATTAAGGAGTTTTGAGAGTTCAGCTTAGAGGTTCCTGTAAGGATTCCTTTTCATTTTTGAAGCGATAGATTTTGATGATCAGGATTCAGGGGTGTGGGCTTACGGCTCCGATTTTTGGCGTATCTTGTGAGGGTTCCCGAAGTTGTGGGTTCCCTGCATTTTACAGAACATACGGTTGATGATATAAATCCTGCACGACCCATAATAAGGAATATAGCATAATTCCCATAGTTTAGGGGCCTTACGGTCATGCAGGATTTATATCATCAACAGTATGAAGTAAGCCTTAACAGAACTTTCAAAGATCCCTTAGAGAAACCCTTATAGGACCCCTTAAAAGGATCCCTTAGAGATCCCTTCAAGGATCCCTTATGGATTTCCTGAACGGAAGCCTTGAAGATCCCTTCAAGGATCTAGCATCCCCAAAGCCCTGAACCTCTGAACCCTAAACCCTTAAACCCTACAAACCCATGCCCTCAGGGCCCAAGTAAGTAACAATAACTCTACTCCCCTTGGAAGGTAAGCAAAAAACTACTTTTTCGGAGACCCCTATAAAAGAAGACCGGAACCAAAAAAGGAACAAAGTAACAAAGTCTCCAAGAGCCTTAAAGATAATATTCTCCCCCAAATAGTAACCTACACTGACTGCTATCCGAAACCTAAGTACCTAGTTTTTGGGCCCTTGGACCCTGAGGGTTAGAGAGACTCCTGAAAGAAACCCCTAAACCCCTAACCCCTAAACCCCTAAGCCGCTAAACCATGAACCCTTATCGGGACTCCTGCCAGAAAGACCCCAGGGCTCCGAAACCCGTAGCATCTGAACCCTTAAACCCTGAACCTCTAGATCCCTTCAAAGCATCCCTTAGCGGGACTCCTCAAATCCAAGGGTAGAAGGAGGGACCCTTAAGAAGGACCCAGAGGTATATACCCTTAATATAGCTATTAAAGGCCCATTATAGAGCCAATTATGGGGTAGGGGTTCCCATTAAGGGTCCCTCCCTTTCCCCTTTGATCAAGAAAGGACCCAAACCCCTAAGCCCTTAAACCCTGACCCTATAGATCCCTTTAAAGCATACCTTAGAGGGAAGGGTTTTAGGGTTTAGGCCTCAAAGAAGGACCCCCAGGGGCTCCTTCGTAGCCTCGAGGTTGTGAAGGCGCTGCAGGCGCCTTCGGCGACTCCAGAGGTAGAAGTTCACCAAATAGAACCTCTGGGAACTTTGGCCCCTTTGTTGGGGTTTATGGTTTAAGGGTAGAACCAGGTGGGGTTTAGGGTTAAGGGTTTAGGTTGAACCTCTGAAAAATTGGGCGCCCTATTTGGTGGTTTAGGGTTTCATGGTTGGCCCCCTTGAGGGTTTAGGGTTTACGGGTAGAACCTCTGGGAAATTTGGCGCCCTTTTTCGGTTTGGGGTGTGGTTTGGGGTTCGGGGTTTCTGGTTTCGGAAGGGCCTGGGAGATTTGGGCCACTTTTTGGGGGTTTAGGGTTTAAGGGTAGAACCTCTGGGAAATTTGGCCCCATTGGGGTTTAGGGTTTAGGGGTAGAACCTGGGGAATTTGGTGTTTTTGGGTTTGGGGTTTTACCGCGAAGGGTTTAAGGTAGATCCTGGGACTCCTTTAAGGGGTCGGGTTGGAGCACTAAGGGTTCAGGGTAGAACCTGGGGAATTTGGCGCTTTTTATGTCGGGGTTTAGGGTTTAGGCGGGGATGTGGAGCTTTGGATGTTAGGGCTCCTGTCAGGGACATTGTTACAAGTAATAGGGTTTATCCGGGTGGAACCTAGGGCCCGAAGATGAAAAAAGCACATAAGCAAAAATTAGGAGAGGGATATACCACATAAAACCCCCTTATAATGAAACCCAAGGAGGCAGGGATATCCCTATAAAAAGCTGATGCTTATGTGCTTTTTTGGGCCCCTAAGAACCTGGTTGCTTTCGAGCTTTGGGGTTTAGGCCTCCTGTAAGGGGGCCATCGAGTTGCGCAGCATTGGTGTTGTATTGCTAGGGGTTTAGGGTAGTACCTGGGGAATTTGGCCTTTTTAGACGAGGGGCTACCCTAAACCCCCAAATATGATAGGGCTTAGACTCCAAAACGTAGACCGTGGTGATTTTTGAGCGTGTTTCATCGGGTTTAGGGTTTAAGGCTTATAAGGGTTTAATAGGGCTTAGACTTCGGAAGGTGGACACTGGGCTTTGGAGCTTTGGGTTTAGGGTTCCTTCAAAGGGCTCCTGTAATGGATCACGATGGATCTGCAGGGCAGCTTTTTTGCATTGCTTTGTTGGTCCTTATTGGGTGTGTTTATGGCTTTGTTTCTTTGCACTGCTTGAGATGGTTGCAAGCAGGGTTTTGAAACTATTTGCACGGTTCTAGTAAGTCGTCTACACGGCGCCTCACCAGGCAGTGTTTCGTACGGGCTTTAGTGCGGTTTTCAGTGTCAAGACTTTCATCTACCTTTAGGGCTCTGCTCCCAGAACTTTTGGTTTATGGTTTTCGTTTTGGGGCTTGAGGTTTAGTTCATGGTATGGTTTAGACTTTTAGACCTGTGGGGTCATGCCAAGCTGCACTGCAATGACCACAAAGGAGATGCCAGTGATGAGCGCCCAGGTTGGGACACAAAGGCAGCTCTTCGTCCTTGCTGAAGCTCTGGGCATCGTTCACAGGAAGAACTACTAACTAGAGTGGGGTTTTGGAGGGGTGGTATATTATACTATAACCCTAAACCCTAAACCATAAACCTTAAACCCTAAACCCTAAAACCTATAACCATAAGAAGGAGGCCAACAATAATGTCGGCAATTCTTCAGGCTCCTATAATAACCAAAAAACTATATCAACGGTTGAAACCATGGGCCCCTAGTATGGGCCCTTAACCTTGGGATCCTCATATACCTACTATATACCCTATATAGACTCTAAAGGGTCCCTAGGACCCCTCCAAAAGGCCTAAAGGTCCATATTAGGGGCCCATACTTCCAACCTCGGACTATCATCCGAGCCAGGTGGCTTGGGATACTGCGCCGATTGTCTCGCGGTTTAGAACTCTGAAGGCTTGGAGCAATCCAGGCTTCGTGGCATCTGTGACTTGCCTATTGGTTTGAGGTGGTTTAGGGTTTGGGGTTTAAGGCTTTGGGTTTAGGGCTTTAACTTTGGGTTTAGGATTTGGGGGTTAGGGTGTTTGGGCTGGGCTTAGGCCCAGGCTTTGAGTTCAGAGCCCACATTACTTTTGACCGCAAACAAGCTTCGGGCTCCTTGTTAAAAGAGATCCCTACTTGACTCCCTACGGCTGATGGACAAAATCCTGCATTACAAGGAATATACCATAGTTCCCATAGTTTAGAGTTCTCAGGGTCATGCAGGATTTTGTCCATTAGCAGTATGGGCCCAAGTAGTACTTATGGCTCTTGATACCTAAAAAGGCCTTAGTGACAAAGTCCTATAATCAGGGGTACTTGGAGCCTCTGCCGAACATGCAGGCATCAAACTCCATGGGCGTCGCGCAGCAGCGGCTTCAGGCAGGGCATCTCCCAAATCAAGCTCCTGGCAGGGTTTTCGATGCTCCAGCAGATGCCTCGCTGAAACAAAACGTGGCAGCAGGCGGACATAAAGGCCACCAAGCTGTTCGCACTGCGAACTCTCACGGAGTCAGAGCCGCTAAGGCCCTTGAGGCCTGCTGGGCGTTGCGCACTGTGCAGTGGCAGCGGTGCCCCGGGACGTGGGATCTCGCGAGCTCGACTGAAGGTCTTTTTGCTTTTGCTTTGCGAACTCAGACGGTACGACCATCTCGAGTGAAATTGATACTGGAAGACATGTAATATGGGAGTTTCCGAAAATGTGGGACCCTAATATGGCACCCTCACTAGTAGGATCCTTAAACAAGGTACCCTTATTCTCGGAAACGCCGATATCGCTGATAAATCCTATGGGTCCGACCTGTGAGGATCAGACAGAGGACTGTTGACCCTACCGAAACAGCAATACTACAGGGCCTTAATTTTTAGAATAGGGTTTTGAGGCCCATTATACTATATTTATAATATGGACTCCCCACCATAATATTGGAAATTATTTATGCCCCTATATTACACTCGACAAACTAAAGCCCTGAACATCAGAACTAACGACTCGAACCCTCTGTCTGAACAGAAAGGCCCCTAAACCCTTAACTCCTAAACCCTTAAGCCCTAAACCCTAAGCTCAACGGAAAGGTACACAGATCAAACCTGAACCCCAAAACCTTTCTCCGATCTGAAGGCTCTCAGCTGCGAGCCGCAGAAGCCTAAACCCTAAACACGGAAACTCTGTGCGAAAAGCTGCATAGAGCCCATAGGCTACAACGCCTGTGGACTAAACCCTAAACACAATGGACTACTAAACAAGATCGAATAATTGCACATGCTATTCCTCAGGGTTTCCGTTTATAACTACACTCTAATACACCCGACAAAAAAGCTCTAAGGCCCCTATAGAGAACCCTCACATGTCTCTTACGACCCCGACAGGAGACCTATTCCCATAATTTAAGACCAAAACATATACTGTTTGGGTACATGGACCCTCAGGGGTTAGACATAGCAGCAAGACAGGTGTGATCTTTAGTGTGTTGCTGCTCAGGGTTTGGGGTTGAGGGCTTACGCTTTATCAGGGTTTTGCGTAAGTGACCGGTTAACGAGGCCATGACATTGGACCCTACCCTAAGGGTCCATGTACTCATATAGTATATACATTGGCCTTAATGTAGTCCCTATATAGGTACTTTGGGGCCCATGTATCTCTATATGGGTACATGGACCCTTAGGGCTACAGAGAACCTCAGGATTTTTAGAGCAAGCGTCGAGTCTTCGCAGAGTCCTATCCTCTGTTGCATGCGGAGGGCGGCGAGACCTCGCTGGATGTTCCCCCTAAAGCTCCATGTACCCATGCAGTATATACTTAGGCCTTAAAGTACCTATATAGGGAGCCCTTTAAGGCTTAAGGATCTACAAGGTACATGGAGCCTTTGTGCCAACTAGGATACTGGACACGTAAGCTTGGGATACAGACCCATAGGTAGCCACGAAGTCATTCTTCATTTTGGTGGGCAGGGTGAGATCTCAACAAGTGAGCTCCATAAATCCAGACAAGCACACAGACTATATGGGAATCAACACCCCTAACAGGCATTGGTTCCGGGGCATGTCAGCGTGCCTTGCTATCGGGACAACCATGCGAGATATTGCTTGAAACGAAATGTTCAAACCTCTGCAGTCAGCTGGCAGCCCTACACCACAGATTACTCTTGATCTGATGCCCTATGAACCCTAATTCGACCCGATACCCTTAATATCCCTCATTCCTAGACCAGGTTCCTTCGAGATGCAACCGGCTGGTTTGCTTGCCTACAATGGGCTCGAAAGACACCAAACAAAATCTGTACAACCGTCAAAGCCCTCCAGCCTCTGTTCAAGCCCTCTCTGGCCTTTCATATCCGTTTTCGCACCACGAATTTACAGGAGCTAAATCCTGACAACTTTAAGAAAACGTTCTATGTCTCCCTGATTAAAACAACAACTTGTGCTTGAGCCTGGAGATACTTCGAAGCTCTAGCCTTAATTTCCCGATTTGGACCTTTAAAGATAATGACCTTCCCTAAACCTAAGGGTTTAGAGTTTAGGGTTTAGGGTTTAGAATTATACGCTAAACTAACCCGAACCCGAACCTTACACTACCCTAATGCCCTTAGCCTGAACCATGGTCCGCCTGCCATCTCAAGCAGACTCGCCGTGTGGTTAGCCTCCGTGTCCGGCCGCCACCTTCTAAGGGCCCCGTCTCCGGGTATTACACTCCTTAGGTCCTGGTTTTGTAGCCCTAAGGGTCCATGTACTCATATAGTATATACATTGGCCTTAATGTAGTCCCTATGTAGGTACATTGGGGCCCATGTATCTCTATATGGGTACATGGACCCTTAGGGTAGGGTTCTACAGGATGTTTGTGAGATGGTATAAGCTTTCCTTCATAGTCTCGCGGGTTGGGGAATCATGCGGTTTAGATTTAACGGTTGAGTGTCTAGGACTTGGCCTAGGCATTGCGAGTTCGGCGTTTGGAAGTTTACAAAGTAAGAGGAGTATACTGAACTTAGAGCCTAGCAAAAATTGTAATTTTAGCCTGTTTGTTAAGGATTATTATAACCAAAAATTGAATAAACAATATTTCTAAGTACCCCTAAGAAGAGTATAGCACCAAAAGCCCCTGTCCTGTTACACCGTACCTATATAATAACCTAAACACTTCCCTACAAACAGAACCCTCATTCAACCCCTTCCAAAAAATCTAAACCCTAAACCCTGTCGAGAAGCTACAGGAAAACTAAACCCGAAGGGTCCAACGGTTGATGATATCAATCCTGCATGACCCATAATAAGGAATATACCATAACTCCCATAGTTTAGGGCCCTTAAGGTAATGCAGGATTAATATTATATCATCAACAGAAGTACCCGAAAAGTAGTGTTCGCGGCCCCAAATACTGTACTCTGAACGGTTTGTTCTCATCAACCCTTTAAACCCTCCCAGAACCCTTACCCTCAGATACCCCTCATAGAAACCTATGAAGCTAATCTGGGCTTCTAAGTAACCAGGGAGGAAAAAGTAAAAACTTGTGTTTCGAAATGGTTCCTTTGAGAAAGAAGTATTAAAGCATGGTACTCCGAAGCCCAGTACTACACCTCTACTCCCCTTGGACGGTAAGCAAAAAACTACTTTTTCGGAGACCCCTATAAAAGAAGACCGGAACCCAAAAAGGAACAAAGTAACAAAGTCTCCAAGAGCCTTAAAGACACCGTAACCCATTCCACTCATTCCAAGACATCTCCAGCAGCCTCATCAGCCCGAGCTCCTTGTGGAAGCCGAGTGGCTCGAACTCCACATGTGCCTCGCGACATGACCGTGCGGTTTAGGGTTTAGGATTGGTACCTAGACCCCCAAAAGGTAGGTAAAATAATGGCCCAAATCCTATGAAAGCCTATTATTCTACAGACTTTTGGGGTCCAGGTAAGAGTCCAGGGGTTTAGGGTTTAGGGCAGGTATAGGGTTTAGGGATTTAGGGTTTTGGGGTTTAAGGGTATAGGGTGTGTTGAACCAGGTAGACGGTTAAGGAGCAGCGGAAACCCAGTTAAACCCAGAGAAAAACGAAGCAAGCCCTAGAATCCTGCAAATCCCCTTCCTTGTAGACAAGAAAGGAAACCTCTTCACCAAAGGCTTGCAAACCCTTGTAGAGAAACCTTTTCGAACCCGGGTAGAACCATACAAACCCCTCGAAAGCATTCATGAAGAACTCTTATAGAGTTCTATGAATGAACATAACATCTTCATGCACCCTAAACCCTAAACCCTCAAACCCTATACCCCAAACCCTCAAACCCTAAACCCTACACCCTAAACCCTCGAACCCTAAACCCTGAACCCGAAACCCTAAACCCCGAACAGCAAGACAATGCCTGGAGCAGCACGGAAGCTTCCGCGATGGCGGAATCGCATGCGTCGAAGCCGGCCTTGGCAGTACCGAGTAGGGTTTAGGGTTTAGGGGTTTAGGGTTTAGGGTTTAAGGAATTAGGGTTTAGGGTTTAGGAGGGTTTAGGTATTTCGGGGTTTAGGGTTTTGGGTTCTTAGTCTCTGAGAACCCTACCCAAAAAAAAGGAAACCTTTCCAATTATGGTAGGGTTATACGAACCCCCCGAAAGGTATAAGGTTACCTACATAACCACTAAGGGTTCACGGCTAAGGATTTCGGGCTTCAAGGGGGGTTCAGAATTTTTGGAGGCTTTGGGTCAGGGGTAGGGTAGGGTTAGGGTTTAGGGACTAGGCTTTAGGGTCTTGGGGGTTTAGGGTTTAGGGCTTCAGGGGGTTCCAGCGGCTTCCGGTTCAGGGCTTTAGGGTCTAGGAGTTTAGGAAGTCTAGGGGCTCAGGGTTTAGGGCTTTAGGGTCTACAAGGGCTTCGGGGTTTGGGGTTTAGGGGTGTAGGGTTCAGGGTTGCGGGCTTCGGGGTTTAGGGGTTTAGGAGCTCAGGGTTTCGAAGTGCAGGGTTTAGAGATTTGGAGTTCGGGCTTTGGCTTAGGGTTTAGAGGTTTGGGGGGTTAGGGTTTCGGGATAGGGCTGGCTTTGGTATCTTAGCATTGGGGGTTACAGGATTTCGGATTTGGGGTCTTCGGGAGCTAAGAGGTATCGAGCTCCCTTAGTACCAATATTCAGCGGCAGAAGTAGCAAAGGTGCTTCAAGATTTAGAATAGGGCTTTCGGGTTTTACTAGTTAGTGTACGTACATGGGTACTTTAAGGGGTGTAGGCGTATGCTTCTGTGACGACGACTATGACGAAAATCCGCACGACAAATTTTCACTACGAGCAACAGGTAACTTCATTGAGTAGCTCGTAATTGAGTTACGTTGAACAGATGAACAGAATGAACAGACTGTCAGCACTAAGTAAGACTCAAGACAATAGGCGAGAGGCCAACACTGCTACACACAAAGACAACAGGCCTCACCCTTCCAGGGCTGCGTGCTTTTCGGGAGTTGGGCTTTAGTTAGGGTTACCAGCCATGGAACTGCAGAATGTCGTCTTGATTTATCTGCGATTCCGGGGTCTTCACGTCGGGGGTGTAGGACCGGAGTTGGGGCTTGGCAGAGTTATTTCGGACTTCCTGAAATTCCAAACCGAAGCCGTGTGAACTGACCGAGTAGCAGCCAGGCATGCCGGCATGGTCACAAGTAGTGGGAGCAGCTCGCGTGGATGTTTCATTTGACTAGACTGATGTGGAAACATGAAAAAAGACTCTGGTCTACATCCCTAAGCCCTATTTCAACCCCTAAACCCTCCGAGACCCTAAACTAACAGGTTTATGTTCAGGCTTTAGAGGGCCTTGGGTTTCAGTTTAAGAACTCCGGTTCGGCATCGTGGCTTGAGCAAGAATGTCCCAGTGTTTCGAACACCTTGAGCCCCGCACCCCAAGACTCAGAACCTTGAAATCCTCGACTTCATAAAGCAAACCCTGAATTCCTCAACGTCCTGCGTAAACCCGGCAAACACGCACACAACTCCACAAGCCACCCACCTCTGTAAACAACAATGGATGCCCCCCACTGTTGCAGACGCCCTAAACCCTTAAACCCTAAACTGACGATGTAGAACCAGAGCGCCGATCGTAGCCTCTGAATGAAGCCATGCACCCTTACCTACCTAAAGGCTCCATGTACCTTTATAGTAGATACTTAAGCCTTGAAAGGGCTCCCTATATATGCATTTTAAGGCCTAAGAGAAAACATGTATGGGTACATGGAGCCTTGGGGCTACTTTTCGGGTCTCACGGGGAAATCAAGGTTAACCTTTTTTGTTACGTAGGGATTACATAGGGACTATACTACCCGAAAAAGGTTAAAGGTTACCTACTCTACTACTAGGTAAACCATGATGTTCGAACCCCTCAACCCTTCACCCCTACAACCCCGGAGCATTGGCCTCTCTGCTACGATACTCTCACTCTCCAAGTCTTCCTTCGAGGCACGTGTTGGGCATAAGTAAGCACCTCTGGATCCAATCACCCACTGCTTCAAGGGCTATGCCCTATTTAGGGTTAGGGTTTAGGGTATACAAGGTAAATAACCTTCTGTTTTGTGGGGTTTGGGGCTACGGGAAAAGCATGTGTATCTGACTTCCGGAATTGAACCTCTCCTGAAAGTAAAGTCACGCTTCGGGTCTCTTCTGAACACGCAATACATGTCTGGGCCCATTACGTACAACAACTCACTGACCGTAGGGTTCAGGGTTTTGGTTTAGGGTTCAGGGTTTGCAACATATTTCTTGGCCCATTAATATAGGGGCCTTAGTAATTAGAACAGGCTTCCGGTGCCCATTATGCTATGATCATGCTAAGGAACCCCCAAAATAGTATTGGCAATTAGAAGGCCCCTATATTTAAGTACAAGGGCTCACTGTAGGGTTCAGGAGTGGCGGGCTAAGGAGGTGTGTCCGGTGGTTGGATGATGCCATATTTTGGGTCTAAGAAGCAAGCATCCTGCAGAAACAATAAGGGCCTTTGGAAGCCTGAGAAATTAGAATAGTCCTGGTGGTACATAATAGCACAAGTCTATGGGGGACATACCGTGCGATTCTTTTTTGAGTATTCACGGCTCCCTGTTATGTTATCGTGATCAGAAGACATCGGACTTGAAAAGACATGAAAGTTCAGGATCTACATTGAAATACTCTGAACTCCAAAGTTTGGGGCATGGATGAAACAAATAGAGGCTTCTTATGCCTCAAGAATTTGAAAGTAGAACAGGTTCTTGAGGTGTTTATCCTTTGGCTGGAATGGGAAACCCACGGAATGGTACGGGGATTGACGATACTTACCCTGGACAGCACTTGGAGGGTCGTGGGACTTAGTAAGTAAGGATATAAGTACTTTAACAGGGGATATAAGTAGTTTTATGTATAATTACCCTAATAATAACCCGAGTTCCTAAGTCCCATGATCCTTTAAGCAGCGGCATCAAGCAAACGACTTTCGCATCTACCAAGGCCTTGTAGCAGCCCCGCTGCCGCCGAAAGCCGCGCGCGAAACTGCGGCAAAAATAAAACAATCCCTGACGCTCCAACTACTTATATGGGTTTCAGGAACCCTTAAGGAATAGTCGCGGCAACTATTCCGACCCTTTACGAGTGCTACAATCGCCGCAGGGACTTAACTGCCAAAACAACATTTATACGTTTAACGCACATACTTTCTTTGTACTTGGACCCACAATAGGTCTGGGGGACAGTAAGGTTCTTGCACTACATGACAGGTACTGACTGACAGAAATTGACATCAGCAGTTGACACCGTCTTGATGCGAATATCTCAGGGTGTCTCTTTATGTTCCCGTTATTATGGAACTAGGTCCAACGAAAACCTTCCAGCGATGGGGTCTTTCGAAGCTTTATTTCGAGTACATCCTAAACCCCAACTGAACGCTCTACCTATGGTCTCCATTGTAGTTCCTTTTTGGGGATACCTTTGGGGATCCTTAACATAAAGTTGGTTCAACCAGAAAAAGGAACTACAATGGAGACTATAGGTACATCCTCAGCCCTGAAGCAAGAACGCACAGCCCTCAATAGACCGGACGCCCAAACCCGACTCTTTTAGCTAAACGATCCCCCTAAACCCTAAGCCCCTACACCCGAAAACCCAAATCCTGAATGATTAAATTAACCCTAAAAACCCTTCGTAAACCCTCAAAACCTCTACCCTGAAATTGAAACTAGACTGTGTTTGAACCCTAACGCTATTTCTACACCCTCAAATCGAAACACAAATCCTACAACCCTTAACCCGCTTCCAACCCTCAAACCATAAACCTTCAAATTGAAACTATACCGTGTTTATACCCTCAAAACCCTAGCATCAACCCTACAAACTGAAACTTCTACCCTTAAACCCTGCGGTCCAGCCGAAACTTGAAAAAAATCAACAACCTGAGCCCTTGAACTTGAAACTGCCTGTGCAGACTCCAGCAGCGACAGCCATGCGCCAGGGGCCACCGGCCCAGGTGCTGGAGCCTTACGGGGGTTTGAGGTGTGTCATACTTAAAGGATCATGCCAGCCACAAAAAAAGGCACTACCACGGTTGATGATATAAATACCTTAAGGACCCCTAAACTATGGGAATTGTGGTAAATTCCTTATTACGGGTAATGCAGGATTTATACCATCAACCGTACTTAAAGGATCATGGGACTTAGTAACTAGGGTTATGATTAGGGTAACTATACTTATAACCCCCCAATTATGGTACTTATAATATTGCTTACGAAGTCCCAAGGGTCTATAGGATTCTATAAGGGTTCCTCACACGGATCTTCTAGGGTTCCCTTAAGGGATCCCTGAAGGGATCTACAGGGCTCTGTCGATTCTTATAAGGAATCGAATCTAATGTGGGGCTCCTTTAAGGGATCCGTTACAGGGCTCTCTATCAAAGGGGAAAAAGAGGGACCCTTAGTGGGGACCCCTACCCTCTAATGGGCTATATAATGGGTATGTAATAGCTATATTAAGGGTATATACCTAGGGGTCCTTATTAAGGGTCCCTCCTTTTCCCCTTTGACTCTAGAAGTTTTGAGGGCTTCTATGTTTTAAAAGTTTCGAGGTTCGGGATATAGGGGTTAGGGTTTGGGGTTTAGGGCTTAAGATTTAGGGTCTTGAGTTTAGGGTATCTGAGTTCTTGTTAAGGGGTTCCATTTCAGTTGCCCTGGGAAGGGAAAATCAGGGAAAACGTTTGGCATTGCTTCAAACTTCCTGGCGTTGTTCCCCGCCGCTATCGGGTAAACCTAGACTCACGATTGTAGGTCTTTTCGTTGGCTACGCTGGTGTCCTTACTATGGCTATGAGATTTTCGTCTGCTAACCTGGTCACACAAAAGCACGATCTACTGTGGAGCAGATAGCAATTGCCCTCAAGCATCTGGACCATAGCTAAACCATGATGAACTATCACACTAAGATACCCGAAATCCGAAATCTCGACATGGATCACCGGAGACAACGAACAAACCTCAAGTTAATACCAACGCTTATATAATCTGTGACAGCATAAAAAGCGAGACAGACATGTCACGCAGCCCCAAGCCCTAAACCCTAAACGGTGAACACACGAAACAATCCCTAAGGGTCCATGTACCCATATAGAGATACATGGGCCCCAAAGTACCTATATAGGGACTACATTAAGGCCAATGTATATACTATATGAGTACATGGAGCCTTATACCCTAAACCCTCATCGAACCCATATAGATCCCTTAAAAGATCCCTTATGGTACCCTTAAAGGATCTCTTAACTATATGAGTACATGGACCCTTAGGGAATTGCAACACAAGGAAGAAGATTCTTTCGGCCAGATCAAAGCCTGAAACTGAGTTGAGCACAGTTCAAAGGTTTAGGGCTGATAAGGCTTAGGGATTAGGGTTTAGGGCTTGTAGGTTTAGGGATTAGGGTTAAGGGTTTAGGGCTTATAGGTTTTGGGGTTTAGGGTTTAGGGCATTTTGGGGATTAGGGTTTACGGATGATAGGGTTCGGGGTTTAGGGTTTAGGGGGCTTATGGGGTTTGGGGTTTAACAGCTGGAATATTGCAAAGACAGTAGCAAAGCCAAGAACCCAAGCGTCATATTCACCAGTACAAGCCGTAACTCCCTATCCCAGCGGCCGGAATGCAGGGCACAGCTGAAGTAAACCCTAAAACCTAGTCTGTCGGTGTGTTTACATGGAATCTTAGGGGTGGCGTACCCTAGCCCAAACAGGTTAACTCTTTCAATTATGGTAGGATTATAGAAAACCCAAATCGCTCAAGGTTACCTACTCTGCTACTAAGGAATCCAGGAAAACTACTGGCTTCGGGGTCTGTCATATTGCAAGCAGTTTCGGGTCTGTGTTGCGACATGGCATGCGCTGTCAAGACTAAGCATGCAAACCGGCATGTTTTCTAACATCCAGAAGCTTTGAAGCCCAACCAGCAGCAACATCGATCGCCCAAACCCTGAACCCTAAACTGTAAAACCCAAACCCGAAACACTAAACCACCAAAGCCCTAAAGCTAAGAACCCAAGAACCCAAAAAACCCAAGAACCCAAAAACACCGAAAACCCAAAACCCTTAATCCAAACAAATCCCAAAACACCAAAAGCAAAAACAAAAATCCTAACAACTGCCTACCTAAACTCAAG